AATTATAGTGTTCATGGTAAATATTAAATTATTTTCTTTTTATATTTGTATTTTTTTTTAATTTTTAGCATTTATGTATACATATTATGCATTTCGTGCTATGAAATGTCCTATACCCAAATGGATGCAAGTAACTGTTACTGTATTTCAACTATCACAAATGGTTGTTGGATGTTTTGTTAATTATAAAGCATATGTTTATAAACAAAATGGTGCATCATGTGCTGTTACTTATGCTAATATATTCTGGTCATTTGTTATGTATGCAATTTATTTTGGTTTATTTCTTCATTTCTTTTGTGTCTCTTATTTATCAAAGAAACCAGTAACAAAAGTCAATGATGAAAATGAACGTAAAAAGAATAAATAAAATTTGAAATTTCGATATCAAGATTATGATCTTGATTCTATGATTTTCTCTTTCTCTCTCATTTATTTTTGTCTTATATTTTTTTTTACTATAGTTGTTCTTTTTACAATAAAATACAGAGGATCAGTATTCGTTGTTCTTTTTCTGGTTCTTTATATATTATCAAACATAAAATAGAAGATTGTTTAAGAAAATGACGAATAAATAAAAATGTACGTTGTTATGCCTTGCCATCTGATACTTCTTTTTTTTTTTTTTGACTATAGAGAATGATGAAAGCAAAAAATAGTCTGGTCCTTATAACAATCGAATTCATGATCTTCACGCCATTAGCATGGTGTTCTAACTAGCTGAGCTATGGGATCGTTGTAATTTGAGAAAGAAAATATTTCATAGACATTGACAATCATCATTATGATCAAGAAAAAGAAAATTCATGTTCTATCTTAATATTAACATTGATTTTAAAAGCAGTTGTTTGAAAAAATACCCAACATACAGTTTATTATTATTCTTAATAAGAGATTCAATTTTTCGAAAGGAAACAAGAACACAATAGAAACGCACCGACTGTTCTTTTATGTAACATCACGTGTCGCGTTCATACATCTATACTGTTGATGAATCAGCATGGCCGCTTAACCTTCACCTCGCTACAAAATCTAATGTCATATGAAGTATATTCAAATCGTTTGAAAGTTTCAAAATACGTTAGAAGTGTAATAGAAAGGTTATTTTTCTAACACTTATTCAAAAAAAAAGTGTTTATTTTTATTAAATTTATATTTACTATTACTTCTCGGATAATAAAAAATATTCTCGTATTGGTATTTTGTTCAATAAAAAACCATTAGTCATTTCATTCATTCTTTTCTTGTAAAAGTAAATTTTATTCATCATTTTTATTATATTGTAGTTTGATTGAAACGAAATCATGAATTTTTGAGCTATTTGTTTTTATTAAAAAAAAAATGTTTTTTTTCCGATGCTCATGATATGACGGATCAAATGATTGGTTAAATGTTTAGTGTAACATAATTCGTTAGAAATTAAATTATTTATACTATTCAGAATAGCAATCGATCTATTTTTCGATTGATTGAGTAATAATTGGACTAGACATGGATTGTTAATTATATATTCAATAGACTTATTGTGAGAAATTTTATCAATGTAAGATTGTAGTTTTGAATTGGCAATGGTCATTTTTTTTTACAGAGATTCATATGAAAACAAACAGACATAGAGTGTGCTTCACTTGATTGAATGTTCCATAGCAACGAGCATCAATCGATACATTATGAAGAGATGAGTAAAATTCTCATAGTCATTAAAACACGAACAGTTAAAAATGAAAATTTTTTTATAAAATAATTCAAAAGAAATCATAGAAACTCAACCAATCATCTAGAATCAGTAAAATTACAAAACTTAAATACAATAGTAAACCAACATTAATTATCATGTGACTCATACTATTAACATACATTTCAAATTCAACTGAATTCCTATGTCAACTGTATAACATAAAGCACACACTAAGAAAAAAAAACATTGTTCAAGCTGAAAAATCTATTATTCATCAAATCTCATTAGACTCGATTTTTGGTCTTACTCGTTAAATAGTTAGAAAAAAGATCTATGCAAATATTCTTTAAGAAAATCCATTAACAAAACACTATAAACAAAGATTCGTATTCAGAGTTATATCCAATACCTTAAACAAGTTTTCGTCACGTTTCAACTTTACGAGAAAAGTTTTCCAACTAATAAATCACTTCCGAATCGAA